TGTATGTATGTATGTATGTATGTATGTATGTATGTATGTATGTGTATATATATATATATATATAAACATTTTATATTTTTTTAAATACATTTTAAAGTTAATTATTAGTAAAACTAATTACAAATAGCATTAAATTTTTAAAAATGATTTTAAAATTAGTTTTTATTCTTAGTTTAGGTTATTTATTTAAATACGAAGTTGACGAATTGAAATATGTACACCGCTACTTGTAGTATGAAAAGTATGAAATTGATAGTATCTGATGTGACACTGATGTATATGAAAGAGATAATACACTATAAAAAGTATGGAAGTATCTATTTTTTCTTTTTTTCCAAATGTCTCAATTGACTTTAAAAGTATTAAAACTAAAATATAATGTTAATACCTTTTATACACACACATCCATACAACAACGACCCAGTAGAATTATGAATACATACTTTGTATACACACACATGTAATAATTATAACAATTAGGAATAAAACAAAAAAACCATAAAATATTTCTTTAGCCATCTTCATGTTCCACTTGATAGTTACCTGATAAAAAATGTAGAAGAATATATTGAATTGGGGATGAGGTACTTAATTAATGCATTACATTTTGCTATAAATTTAGTTGTACATCATATATGAATATAAACCGGGATGTCACTACTGGTGCCACTGCGTTTTTGGAGTACTCTTTTCATCTCAGTATATTTGTTTAGTTTGATTTTTTCGAGCTAGATGGAATAAATTTTGAACTTCAATTAAATTGAAATTGGAATGTATATTAATATAATAATGATTTTATTAGATTTATGTTGTTGGAAACATTCAAAATTTTATACCATCATACAAATAAGCAAAACAAATTAAGATCAATAGAAACTCGATCAAAGTTTGTTCTTATGTAAAATTTGCACTAAATAGGACTAAAACATAATGACTTTCCCAATGTAAGACTTGAACTTTTTTATTCCCTAAATATGATTTAATAATGACCTAGTGGAAGGAATAATGTCCAGTAATGATGGACATTTACTTGAATAATGACTAATTGATAATGACCAAAAGTCCTACATTGGAAAATAAAAACATGTGGTCTTATATTAGGAAAGTCATTATGTTTTAGTCCTATTTAGGTAAATTTTTCTTGTTCTATTCGACTCGAAAAAAATAAACTAAACAAATATGCCGAGACAAACCTAGTAGCACATATTAGGCCACTCTCTTTGAATGGTCACGGAAAACACTGCGTCTATACGATACTCCTTTTGTAAAATTAACGGATAGCTCTTAGTACACCCTTCACCTAGTCCCGACGTCAGCCTATCCCACAACCTTGTCCATTGCACGGTAGGGCAGGGAGGGCACTGTTCCAGCCCACTTCCCCGACTCCGGCCGCATAATATCACTCTCCGGCAACCCCGCCCTTCCCTAGCTCTCCGTCGCCGTGAAAGCCTTCAATGTAAACTGTTTCCAACTCGACGGAGATGAAAACCCCGGCGTCGAAATCGCGGCTGCTCCACGGACGTCTCAGAGCGCCGTTGGCGAGACGGTGAGCGATTCCCCGGTGAATACTACGCCGCCGGTGCGGATTCCATCCGAAACGACGGGACAGGACGCCGGCGAAGAAGCGGAACGCGTCTTCGTGAGAAGCCAGGGCGTGATGTGGGTAAAATTCTTCTGAAGCGTGTTCGACGCCGGAACAACCGGAACTCGTCGGAGTTTCCGACGGCGGCGGCGTGCCGTCACAGAACCTATGGCGCATCCGTATGAGTAGTACGCTGCGTTGGCGGCGGAAGGGAGAGATGAGCAGCTGACGTGTCAGGTTTTCTCTGATCTCCATATTCCTTATTATTGTTAGCTAGTGTAGTATTTGGAATTAGTTTAATCAATGTTTAAATTAAGAGTAGTTAAATAGAGATTACTTTCAATCCTATTTGAACTCTGATTTTTAAAACTCCATATCTAAATAGATTATTTTCAATCCTACTAATATTTCGAATATATTGTAATAAAATTATTACGGTACAAAACTAATAGTAGGGGTTCTTAATAAAATAATGAGTAAATTTTAAAAATAGCCTTTTATAACAAAAAAGATCAATAAATAGTATTCCCTCCGTTCTAAAAAACTCTTTCTCTTTCTTTTTTTTACTTTCAACAAAATAATTCCATTTTCTATTAAAAAACCATTTTTACCCTTACCTTTTCATACCCTACCTATCACATCATATTTTTTCTCTAATACTCAATTCATCACATCTTACTTTTACTCATCACATCAAGGGCAAAATTGGAAGTCAACTACAATTTAACACTTCCTTATTTTTGCACAAAGTCAAAATAGGAACACTTTTATAGAACGGAGGGAGTACTACACTTTAAAATATTGCATTCGTGGTTTGTGATATTTGAAAACTATTTTATAATTAATCTTTTGTGGCTAGACTATATATGAAAAATGATATTTAAGTTAAAAAACTGCTTATAGAACATAATGATTTTCAAATAGGAAAAATGCTTCGTTTACCTCCAAACTCTTCAAAAATTGTACGGTTTACCCATTAACTTTAAAGTGCACCGTTTACCTCGAACTTTTCGAAAATTACTCGATTTACTCCGAACAATACAATATATACTAAATACCCTTGGACAATTTAAAACGTGGCACCGTTGGTCATAAAAATGCTAGATATGGAGTGTGTTGCATAATTTGGCTGCATATAATTTATTTAAAACATTGAACCGTTGATTTTCTGTAAAAAGTCCTAATATTTTTGGCTGCATAAATTGTTTTTTATATTCAATCAGTATCAAATATCTATTATAGAGCTTCATTCGCTATTGTTTGGAAAACGGTGTAGGGGGGATTCTTTTTCTATATTCATGAAACCAGGCGACTCGAGGACTAAGTAAGAAAATAAACTTTCATCTAAAGAAAATCTAAGTACACAAATTCACCTCTGAAAATAAACAGAGGTGTACACAAAATCTAAAGAAAATAACATTCTCGACTTAGTCGTTGAAAATTACCTCTAAACTTTTGGAGAAATACACAAATTCACTTCAAACTATAAAAATTACACTAATGTCATATGAGCTTTTAAAAATATTGAACCAACAGTTCCTCTGTGCAAGATTTAGGGCCGCATTAATCACACATTCATCAATATATTAGTTGGAGTTTCATGAAGATGTCATAAATTAATAAAGAGGTTGATTGATTGATGACGAGCTTTGTAGACTGATGTTTGGCCTTCAAAATCAGTTATCAACGACTAAGTCGAGAATGATTATATAAGGTTTAAAGAGTTTAATAGAAAACAATGTTTGGGAAGGTCACATTGTAGAAGTCGTGTATGATACATGACTTTAGATGAATTCATAATTGCACTGGATGAGCATTTGTTTAACGCACTCTAAAATCTGGCACAGAGAGTATTGGTATAATATTTTTAAAAGTTTAGAAGGTATGGATGTAATTTTTTAAATTCATGGGTAATCCATGTAATTTTTAAAAAGTTTAAGAGTAAATTATGTAAAAAATTTCAAACTAATGTCATTTTATGCTTTTCTTAGTTAAAAATATTTGTCTTCAAAATAGATGTTTTTACCATTTAGAGTCTATAACCAAATATAAGAAATTAAAATTATTTTTTGGAATATATTATTTCCTTAACATTTGAACCAAACAAATCTTATGAGTTATATTTTTTTTATTGAGAAGTCAGAGAATAACAAAAAATTCTTTCAACCAAGCACGGGTTATATTATACTCTCTCTGTCCCAAATTATAATGCATGTTTACTATTTACAGGGTCAAACTTTATTCACTTTCTTTCTCTATTTTCGTTAGCAATTTGATAAAATAAAATATTATTGTCACTACTACTTTTGTAGATCTTTTGATGTAATTTTTTAATATGTAATTTTTATTTTTTAATTCTATACCATTTGTCATATAAAATGGTTTGAAAATAATTTCAGTCAAACATCGTAAACCGAAACAGGCGTTATAAAATGGGACGGAGGTAGTAGTATTAAAAAAATCGAACTTAATTTTCCTATGGGAAGCGAGAACCATCTATCATCAATTGTATCATTTCGCAGAATCTTCAAGCATGAGCTGAATTACTCCGTATAATAAATTGTAAATTAAGGAGTACTAAAGTACGGAAAGAATCAAATTTGTCATTTATGCGGAATTTATCTATTACAATTTGGAATTGGCTCGTTAATTGATACAAAAATTAATACACACGATGATTGCTCTCGTGTCAATTAACACGATAACTCGAATTTTTAGCACATAATTTATTTGAATGAGTAACTTAATTCACGTTTTCCAACTAAAATGATTATTTGGTTCAATTAGATTTACAGAGATTAGTTTAACTCGTGAGACCAAAAAAGAGTATTAAAATTTCTATAGAGTTCATAGATTTTAATACTCCCTCCGTCCTATAATGATCTTCCCAGAGCACTATTCCAATTTCACGGGAATTTATATTTAATTGTGTTTTTTCATGGCCTATATGATAAAATAAAATATTCTTGTCACTACTTGTTTTGTTGAACTTTTGGTGTAGTTTTTAAATATGTATGTTTTATTTTTTATTTCTATACCAATATTTAAATAAAATAGATTGAAAAAACTTGTGATTTTTCTTTATTTTGCGAACCGAGAAGATCATTATATGACGGAGGGAGTATATGGTTTACTAAAGCTACATTTTAGATTTACCATATCATTACAATTTACAAACCATTCATAAAGATCAGAGTCATATCATTTCGCGGGATCTTCAAGCGTGCGCCGAATTACTCCATATATTATCACATTTAACGGCACACGCGCCGAGTTGGCGCTCGAATTCCAGATCTCCCTCGTTGCCGCCGCGGTGTAGATTTTTTTTTCGTTCTCGCCTGAGATTCGGAATCGCCGCCCCGCAGATCGTCTCACTCTCCTCGAATTCCGATCGCGCAGAGCCGTAGATAGAGTATGTGAAGAAGAGAATGGACGAGAAAGGCGGAGAAGGATCTTTCGTGGCAGTTAGGAGAATTTCGCCGGGCCTCGAGAGAAGCAACACTTGTAATTCACCTTCTCTCTCTCTCTCTCTGCTATTTTTGTACAACAATACAATACTTTCCTTTCTAAAATTAACTGATCATTCGTTCAAACGACATCGAGAATAGAAAATTAAATTCTACGTTGACATTTCTATCCATCTCCCTCTCCTTCTCTCTCTCTCTCGACGTTTCTACAGTATCTATTTCTTGCTGTGCTGTGCACTGTATCTCTATCAGATGCTAGATGTATGGTGTCTCTATTTGATGTGAGCTTTGGATCTTTGAATTGGAAATTAGCTTGTGCTTCATGCCTAATTGCATTGACATTTGTGGTGAGTTTGCAATTTGATATCCCCTGTCTCTGGATTTGAATTGATTTTAGTTTGTGCATATATACATTCCTTGTCGCTATTCGAAGTTTTTATTAATATTCTCTCATTTATTATTAGTTGTGAGATTGGTGGGGTATGTGTATAGTGCTGGCCTAGATGCATTGGATCTCAAAATTGTGGACATATTTGGTTTCTTCTATCCAATTTTGTCCATATATCCAACAAGCTTAGGTAATCTGCTTAATGATTACCTGGTAGCTGCTTTACAAGTGGTTCACAGTTTTTTTTTGAAGGTTCAGTTGCTAGATGACAGGCAATATTTTGAACACTTTATGCAATCTATGTATTATTTGGGTAATTTCTGTGTTTTTTTTCCAACTTGGTGCTAAACTTACAGAGCTAGAGTTTCTTATTGTTATTATTATTTTTATTTAGTAGTCATTCCTCATTACTGGCAGTATGATGAATTGGAACAAAATGGTTTGGGTGTCTAAGATTTCCTTTTGTCGCAGCGGAGGTTTTGGCAGGATCTGCAGCATGGCTTGGCAGAGGGCTTTCATGTGTTTGCGTTCAGGCGAGAGAGGGTGATATTCGGCCCTCGTTTAATTTTACACCTGCTGAGGTATTATGATTGAGCCAATGAAGCCTATTTATTGTTTCTGCCAATGGTGTAATGAAGCTTAACTGAACTTTGTCAGAAACTCCGATTTTTCATGAACATCACAGAATCCCCTCGGCTCTTCTCCCTATCTTAGATTCATAGGTTTTTTCAAACCTTATTCTCTCTCAAATGTGCTCATTTTGCAGGAACATACACATTTGCACTTTTTATAACACATGCTTGCAGTAGTGCCATTGTTATGTGTAGTTGAAATGCTATATTCTGTCAAGTGTCTGCTTTGTCCAAAATCTAATTACACTATTCAATAGAGGTTTATTGGTTTAAGGCAATGATATTTAACTTTGGTGATGCCAGGAAGAGTGCTTGCATAAGTTGCAGAGCCGTATGGATGTTTCTTACGACAGTACGTATTCAGAACATCAGGTCCACACGTTTTCAATAAATTATGAGCAATTAAAAAATCTACAGAACTGTATTAATGTTTCACATCATTAGTGCTCATTTTCCCTGGTTCTGAGTTCTCACAGGCAGCTTTAAGGGCGTTGTGGGATTCTGCCTTTCCTGGAGAGGAGCTACATGACCTTATATCTGAGCAATGGAAGGAAATGGGCTGGCAAGGAAAAGATCCTTCAACTGACTTCAGGTATATCAGTTCTCTTTTACTCAACAATTGCACTTCACCTTACAGCTTGGCAATTACCCTTCTGAGTGCTTAGTTTAGATTGTGCCGCTGTGAAACTTCTTTCAATGTTGTTTTGTTGTCTGTTTCATGTAGGGGAGGTGGGTTTATATCACTGGAAAATTTATTATACTTCTCGAAGAACTATCCAGTAAGTCCTCTCCACTGTAATTCCTTTTTCTTTTGTTGGATGATATTCATATGGCCTAGAAGATTAATCGGTTTCATCTCTGACTCACAATTGCACTTGGCTGCTGACCAAACACTCATGTTTGTTGCTGACTCACAATTGCACTTGACTGCTGACCAAACAGTCATGTGTTAATTGCTGACTCATAATTGCACTTCCAGGACAAATATTTGAGGATTTTTGCCTATTTCAGTTGCTCTTTTCTTAATTAAAGAATCCCGGGAAATATGTTTCATGTCTTAATGTTAACTTATAAGCCTTTGAAATTGTTAGAAGTGCTTGTTATTGCTTCTATCTAAACTTTGAGTTAAGTAAGGATTTCATAAAAGAAAAAAGTCTATGTCTTCAGGTTCTGGTTGCTATTTCTAGTCTCAATAGGCAGGAGAAGATTCGAATTTCTTAGAGCATTGTTACATCTTTTTAAAGGAGGGAGAGGAATATGTAATGATTGAAGACGTCTCTCTGTCATTGTTTAGAACTATTCTTAATTTTCTGGATCGGTTTTTTTAATAAATTATGACGAGCAGCAATTCCTGAGGTTGAATACTTCACCTACTCTATGTGTTCTGAAGAGCCTAGTGAAAGGGAAAATCCGTTAGGCCCCGTTTGGTACACGGAATTCAAACTATGGAATTGGAATTGAGGACTTCAATTCCAATTCTCGTGTTTGGTAGTACAAAAATTATGTGGATTTGGAATTGGTAGTGCAAAAAATGAATTGGAATTGGTGAATTCAATTCTATGGAATTGAATCCCATGGAATTTTAATTCCAATTCAATTCCAATTCCATCAATTCCTTGTACCAAACGGACCCTTAAGGATAAATAGTCAAGCAATGAAAACATTTTTAGGAAACTCTTGATGCCTCTTTTCCCTAAACTTAAATATCAGGTGTAGTCGAAGTGGTTATGCAATGTATATTGTATACTATCTACCCCCAACCGCCATTTTTTTAAAAAAGAGTGTAGGCTCTCCACTATATTGCAATGTACTTGCAGAAGTTGTTGCTTGTGACTCTTGGACATTTTGTTTAGTGTCAATAATGCCTATCTTCTTCCAAATTGTCCAAAACATTAATACGCCAAATATGCAAGTGAATATTGGGCTTTTAGTCTTATTTAGTATACTTAAACTTGTCTTGGTTTACAGTAGTGTATTCCATCTGATCATTAATTCTTGTTTTTCTGCTTCCTGATGCAATATTGCAGAAATCCTTTCAAGATCTCCTTCTAAAGCGGGAAGGCAACCGGTCTATGTGGGAATACCCATTCGCTGTTGCTGGTGTCAACATCACATTTATGCTCATCCAGATGCTAGATTTAGAGGCAGGTGCGTATTGCGTTACGTTCCAGTGCGCTTCACATTGAGCATTTATGAACGAAATCCTGAATTAGCAGTTCACATAGTCTGCATATGCTATTTTCTTTTTTAAGAATTAGGGCATTAAAAAATAAATTGTGACTTGAAATAATTTTATTTTCATGCTTTGTGACTTGGATGTTAAGGTAGCCTCAGTAGATCTTTCACTCATATTTTAAGGGAAGCATTTTGTGGGTTCTCATATTGGGAGCACTCTAGCATTTTCATCTAACTTCAGCTAATTTGTGTAATATTTGCAGTAAAACCACAAAGGCTGGTGGGGGCAACCTTCTTGAAATTTCTTGCAGGTAATTAATGGTGTCATTTAAGTGTCTTTTTTAATTTCATGAAAGTTCACTCTTGACTTGGTGAGGCTGAAAGAGTCAGAATGACTCAATTATAAACCCTTTTTTTTCATATGGGCAGATAATGAGTCCGCATTTGATCTTCTGTATTGTATTGCTTTCAAGTTGATGGACCACCAGTGGCTCTCTATGCGAGCATCATATATGGATTTCAACGTATGTATTTTTCTTTCTTCTTTAAGATCTTGTCTTTGGTTCAAAGATTTAGAAAGAAAAAGAAGAGTATATGAGAAATTTTGCTTTAACTTGTCATTTTCTTTTTCTTTCATTTTTTGTTTCTTTGGCTACATTTCAGACTGTGATGAAAGCTACACGGCGACAACTAGAGAAGGAACTTGTGTTGGAAGATGTAAAACGGCTAGAAGACTTGCCCTCTTACAGCCTTCTAATCCATTATTAAGCTGTACACTCCTATAGTCCAATATGAAATTTACTTGAAGAAAAAAATGATCTGTATATATAGCGCTTCCAAACTGCAAGTTTCTGATTCACATTTTCTAGTCTCACCGGAATGAGACTGGAAAATATGCTCTAGCAAATTCTTATCCTGCTTATTAACTGCGTTTGAATCAAAGGAGAAACCAAAACAACAAAAGACAGTATGCATCGGCTCTTAAGGTGTAGATAACATAACATTTTCGCCAAAGTAGAAAGACAAAAAACACAAAGCACCCTTTAATAAAGTTTTACACTCAAAATCCCGAATAACAAGACATCACACAAGAGTTTTGATAAACATCATAATCAAATTAATTCTCATAGATCCAAGGGTGGAGCTCGCTCTTCCATTCAGCAACACCTTCTGGGAACCAAAGTGCAATTTCCTTCCTGGCGCTCTCAACAGAATCACTTCCATGGATAACGTTCCTACACGTGATAAAGCGCATAAATGAATGTGAAACTCCACTCGAACTGATAATATGAAATCACATATAATGCAGGTAGTAGTCATGTTGGTATGGATGCCAGTTTCGGGATTTCGATTTCAAATTCAAATTTGACCCGTATTTACACGTTTGGAAATCCCAAAAAAATTGGAATTGAACGTGGGCAAAATTCCTCTAATTCCTAACGAAGTTCAAGGACACTTCCATATGCTCACCCTTATAATAAGAACTCAAATTTTAGAATTGAAATGCAACTCTAAAAGCAACGAATCCAACCTAGTACACTAATCAAATGGAACATAACATAGGAAAGCAGTAGAATGAATTTTTTACCTCCCAATGTCGATGGCAAAGTCACCACGGATGGTTCCAGGAGCAGACTGCAAGGGGTTTGTGGCTCCAATGATGGTCCTACCGGTTGCAACCACACCTTTTCCCTCCCACACCATTGCCACAACAGGTCCAGAAACAATGTAATCACAGAGACCACTAAAGAATGGCTTTGCAGACAAATCAGCATAATGCTTTTCGGCGAAAGCACGCTCGACGGTGATGAGCTTCAAACCTTCAACGATTACATAAACCTCATATCTTAATCCTCCAAACAATGAACTAAAGCCTCAATCTTATCATTAATTTCACTATCACATCATGAACGTTAAAAATAAATTAACTAAAGCATCCAAACTTTTAGATCAAGGCTCTGTTTGGGAAGGGTGTTTTTGACTAGCTTTGGCGATTAGGATACAAATTTAATGGCGTAGATTAATTCTAAAAACACTACCGTCAGACAGCCTTTTCAAAACGCTAAAGCTAATATCTAACACCGATGCCAAACAAGATCCAATTCAGTCCAATAAGTTTCAATGGAAAGAAGCAAAACCTATGTAAAAACACATGCAAGCACTTCTTCACATATTTAGAGGTTGTTTTGGATTGACAACAGCAATAGTTTTTCCAACACAATAGCAAATACTCCCTCCACCCCGCAAAAAAAAACTTTTCTTTCATTCCCTTTTAGAATTTTCCAAAAAACAAAAAATCTCAACTTAGTAGATATTCTCTCTTAAATAAATTCCCTTTTACTTGTATGTCAAAATGGACAGAGAGTACTAACTTTGATGATCAAATATTCATATTTCTCATAAGACGATAGATCAAGCTTAAGGATTAGAAACTCCATTAACATCCAGCAAAAAATAAACAACAAATGCGATTCATCAAACCTCTGATCTATCAAAACATTCTAACAATTTCACATAAAACAATCAAATTATAGATCTGCAGACAGATATAATCGCTGCTCCAACCCTAAATCATCCAGAAAACTAAAAGTATTTCAGAAATAAATAATAGCTCAAGAGAGCTGTTACCTTTAAGATAGAAGCCTTTCTTCTCGAACCGGCCAATGATTTCACCAACCTGAAGCAAACAAACGCAACACAAAAACGATTACTCTGCAATTACAAAATAATACTCGTATTCTGCGTTTTGCTACAGAGAAGCTAATGACGGAGACGAACCAGGCCGCGCTGGACGCCATCGGGCTTAATCATGATGAAGGTCTGCTCCATTTCTGAATGACTCTTACGGGAAGCTCCGGGTTCGATCTACCAAACACAGCTCAATCGGGAAAGGAAATGTCGTAAACACAGTGAATGCAGAGAAGATTTTATAGCGAGAAAGGAAGACGGTAAAGCCCTAATTGCACGGATTCGAAAAATAGATATTGGGCTCTGGCCGGCCCGTGATGGGTGAGTTTGTAAGCTCGTTATACTTTGGGCTTTGTTGATTACATAGTCGAAATTGATTATTCAAACCCAGAGTTAAATGTACATATAGTTTTTGTGGTTTTTCATAAGTAGGTTAGTAGTCCTTATACATTTAAAAATTGTAAAATAATTCTTGCGGTAAAAAAAATGATGCATAATTAGTCCTTCTCTAAGAAAAACGTAAAGCACACAGAAAACAAACGTATTGTGTGAAAATATGAAACATGTAACAAAAAAAGAAGTTTAACTTATCAAATTGCCTTCTTCTTCATGATTAAAGTCACTGAATTGTCTTTTTCTAACTCTTTTTTCACACGATTTTACCTTAGAATAAAAGTATTTGAAAAATAGAAAAATGTCGAACTTACATAAGACATTGCACTATGATTCACGAATATCACTATAGAAGAGCTAGAGAATTCGTTGTAAGAGTTAAAATAAAAGATGGAAGAGATTGTACTATAGTTCAAAATTACACATTGTAGTTAAAATTTCAAATTAGTTTTTGTTGTTACATGATAGACATCTTTGCATAATACACGCGTGTTCTGTGCATTTTACGAATTTTCTAATATAAAGACTAATTATGATGTGGTTATTCACTTGTTTGGCCACAAGGACTATTTGATAACTTTTAAGCCATAAAGGAAATCTTTTGCGCATTAGTCCAAAAAATGTTATTAATATATAATTAATTATATATTACAGAGAGGTTACTCACTATTCTTTTGGTCCCGACATATTCAAAAAGATTACAAAAACAAAAATATTTAAATTTTACAAATAAAGTATATGTTAAATTTTTTTATTTCAAAGTTTCAAACACAATTTATTTTTTGTTTTTAAAACTTTTTTTAAAATGTTGGTTTGAGAAATATTTTTATTATTATTTCACACACACACATTTCTTCTCTTTATTTAAAAGAATATCAGAAGAGAAAAAACAATAAATAAAAAGAAGACGGGTGTTGGCGCAGATTTTCAAAACCATAGTGGAAGGGACTGGAAACGGAGTTATTCACATAATATTTGAATAATATTTTGTCGAGAGGAGGATTGGTGTATCAATATCAGAACCATGAGGGGCAACGACGTAAGTTTTGAAACAATGATTTGAATGAACAATACACATTTACCAAACCACGGGAAGTGTTGATGCAATAAACTTTAACCTAGATTTTAGACGACTTGCACTGAATCCAAAATGAAACAAATGGAATCAAACTTGAATTAGAAATGAATCGAACACGCCTAATTTGAATTATAATCAAATATTCGAACCCAAGTCGTGGTGCCTGAAAAAATCATAACCGAGACTATTGAGAACTTAGAATGTGTATCTACCCAAATCTAAATCTAATTGAACCATTTGGTATCCAAATTGATATCTATCGAGAGAAAGGAGATTGAATAGATTGAAAGATAAAAAATTACTGGTAGGACAAGCTTGTACAATTTTCTCTACTATATTGGAGATAATAAAACATTAAGTGAAACATACAATTAGTTCTCTCATTTCATTTTCTCTTCAAAACAAACAATGCAAAGTGACCCGTTTTGTATTTTATTTCCTTCCATTTTCTTTACTTCAAGTTTGTTCTCGTTCAAACGAAGAAGCTTGTTCACATTTAGTTATCTCTTATTTCATTTTCTTTTCAAAACAAAAGATGCAAAGCGCTTCGCTTTGTGTTTTCTTTCCTTACATTTTTTTTAACTTTCAAGATTCTTCTCGTTCAAAAGGAAAGTAATAGAGGTGAACTAGGATAACATAAACCCACAAAAATTTGAACCCAATATCCGGACTAAAAAGTGTGACATGAAAAAAAAACAAAAGTTAAAATCAAAATAAATGAAGTTTAAATTATTTTAATAAAAAATGAGTGTTTAAAAATATACTACCACGGTGCCTTAGTATTTATCAAATTTTGACTTTTTGAAGTCAAACTTTTTCAAACAACCGATGCTAATACTTTTTTTTAAATTAGTAAAATAGCAAAGACATCGGTTGTTAAGAAACAATCGATGCTAATACTTTTTTTAAAAAATTAATAAAATAGCAAAGGCATCGGTTGTTTAGAAACAACCGATGCTAATAATCTTTTTTTAAAATTAATAAAATAGCAAAGACATCAGTTGTTTCCAAAGCGATGCAATTGAATTGGACCAATTGCATCGCTTGTATTTACATCAGTACTAAACCGATGCTAAAGGTATAAAACAACTGTTGTCTTTGCCCTTTTATGTACTAGTGTTGTATCAATACCTACTACCTAGTATCACTCTTATTTATTTTGAGGTCGAAGTTTGAATTGAAAATGTTGTCTCTAATTTCAATTTCATAGTTTCAATTTCGTATACCAAACAAATCCTTAATGATTTTTTTAATCTTTGTACATTGGTTCAATTAGGCCTTTAATTTCTCGAGTAAATTTCTAAAATGACACTAAGTAACTACATGCTTTTTCAAATTAGTTTCCAAGATGAGCTAATTATTATTGAGACTGCACGTACCCACACTCCATCCCGCATTAGTATGATATCGTCTGCTCTAGATCAAGCCTTCACGAATTTGAAAAGGTCTCATCCTAATGGGGTTGAGTAGCCATATATATTTTTGGTCATATTTCTTCTCTTCTTCCAGTGTGGGAGGGAGGACTTTGCTACCCAACAATTATCGAAATGCTACTCGTTATTTGATAATAATACTCAGTTTAGTCTTCTCAATAAACGGCCATTAAAACGGTATTAAAACGTGTACTAACTTCCCATAATGGTTATCTCTAATCGGACATTTTTTTCAAATTAGTCTAGATTTGAAATAAAAAATTATAAAAACTGGTCTTCCGACTTTGCTTAGATATCGTAAACCAATTAAATGGGAAGACTTCTGCTTGAGTTTTTTTTCATATTTAATTAATTTTTACTTCAATTATGGATCAATTTGAGAAAACATCCAATAAGAAATGATACTTTTGAAAAAAAAACAGTACTACGTTTAAAGTTAAACGACGTTCTTATACCGTTTTGATGATCATTAATCGTGGGACTAAATTCAACATTATTTTTAATTATCGAGTATCATATCAACAATTCACTCTAATTTCTTTCACTCCAAAACCCCTTCAAAAAGGCGATGCCCTTGTTATTAATTACTGCAAGTTTTTGTTTTTGAACTTTTGGCCTCTTGAAACCAACATACAAACGCAAGAGACAAGAAATAGAATATAATCTTGAGACAAAGTGAGACCCCACGAAGGAACAAGTGAGAGGCCGGCCACACTCTCTATATAAATACATATCATCATTAATCGCTCAAGACTTTGTATCCCTTGATTGAAATTGGCCATTATTATTGCATGGAATTCATCACATATATTGCCTTATTGTGTCTCTTTCTTTTTTTGTGTGTTTTTTCAAATTTATTTGTTGGTATTTGGTTATGGAAATTTATTGAATTTCCATTTAATCAACTTTTTTAAAAGACACACACACACATATTGATGTGAACCAAGCCCCTTGAGGCATTATGAGTGACTTGGGCCTGAGATATGTATAAAGCACAAGTTAGAATCCGTACATTATAAGAAAGATTCGGCCTAAAGATAAAGTAGTGTGCCGGTGAGAGGAACTGTCCAAGAAGCAAGTTAGGGAAAGAAATAAGGTTAGGGATGTAAGATATGGGATGGATCTCAGCCCATTATGGTCAGGTCACCCAGAAGAAGAGAACCATACAAATAAATTAGGGTAAGCACCCTCCTGAAGGGACAGACGGTTGGAGAGAGTAGACAAGGAATAATGGTCGGACGAACAAGTTTGTCCTTAAGTGGATGGCCTTAAGCTGAGAAATATATTTCTGGGAAAGAAGAGAATTGCCCAAAAAATTTTCAAACCACCGCGAATATATTTGATGAGATGGTGGTTGGAGAAGCTCCTATAAAAGGAGAGAGAATTTAGATAGGAAAGATAACTTGTAAGAGAGAGAGAAAAGACTTGAGTAATACTTCCTCCGTTTCTTAAAACCCTTCCTCTTTTATTTTTTTTGTTTTTCTTAAAACACTTCCCTTTTCTATTAAAAAACCACTTTTACCCCTACTTTTTCATACCCTACCTATCACATCATACTTTTTCACTAACAACTAAACCATCACATCTTACTTTTACCCATCACATCAAGGGCAAATTTGGAAAGTCAACTACAATTTAACACTTCCTTATTCTTCCCCAAAGTCAAAAGGGGAATTGTTTTGAGAAACGGAGGTAGTATAAGAATATTCCGGTGGTCCTATAGAATATTCCGATCCCAATTAAGGTGGAGCGAATAGAGAAAGGGATTCCGGTTTGAGTTCATACTTTGTATGCAGTGCATTTGTTTGCAATCCATTACTCTTTTCTTTTTACTTTCTTACTGTAATAAGGCCCAGATACTAATATTTGGACCTGGATCGATCAACAGTCTTAGGGGAAAATATTAGGCATCCATTATACACACACACACATATATAGACACACACACACACTCACAAAATAGCATTACGTCTCGAGGTTCGATTGTAGAAGATCACTGCACGAATCTGGGCTCCAATACCATATTCTGGTATGCGCGTAACCTCACCCAATCCTACATTAGTATCATTTTGTCCTCTATGAGATGTTTCTGGATACATCTAGAGAAGTTTCATATTAACAGAGTTTGGTATCTATATACTACCTCCGTCTCTGAGTATTTATCAGGTTTTAAGCGTTCTGTATTCAAACATTTTCAACATATGATTTATAATTAAATAAAACACATTTTGTATTTTGATTAGATAAAATAATATTTTGAAAATATTTTATAAAATAAACATAATAAATTGATTTTTGCATCAATATCTAATATGACTTTTATTTAATCTTTTGTATATACTCCTTCTACATCCTTCTTCTGCATCTTAATGTCTTTAATTTAGGTTTTCTCAAAATTCCCCCAAATCAAAGGATGGAGGCTAGTAAATAAAAGTAACCCCTAGTTTATTTTATTTCAAAAACCGATTATACCCCTCCTGTTCGAATGAAACTTGAAAATTCAAAGATGTGTGTCAGATAAATATATTCTACTTTGCATAAGAATTTACAGGAGAGCCAATAATTTACCTTTATGCAGAAAATCTTCACATATCAGTGAGATTAGACATTTTTTTAAAAAAAATAAAATTAAAATATTTACTACTCCCTATATTTATCTTTGCTTTCTCGACCAATTATTAGTACTGCGAGTAGTATTTTACTTTGGGTTGTTTCATTTTTTACAGCTTTTTATCGTTTGAAAAGATTCCTACTTTTAAGATAACATTCTTTTTTTAACAAAAACAGAAAACCTAAGTTTAAAAAAAAAAACTCAACAAAGGGTTCGCATCACATTGCTAACAAAAACTACAGAACTACTACTAAAAAATGTACTACTTAATTCACAATACTATTGTGATTTTGGTCCAAAAATTACCAAATATATATATATGATTTTTCACTCTATTGATTTCCATTGCGATTACAAAAGTAATTAATTGGAATTGTTCTCAACGGATATAATCGTGTCAACAAGTCTAGTTTATATAATAAAATATTGCGCGTGTACTACAAAAAAACACGTAACTGTTAAGGATTACTACCCTTTTGGCATCACTGTTAGATTTTAACGTTAGCATTTTAAAAATGATATCCGACGGTAGGTTTTAGCGTTAACGTTTTACACAATTAATCTACACCATTAAAATTTAATCCAAAACGCTAAAGCTAATTGAAAATGTATATATTAAGATATATATTAAGATACACACACGCATACATACATACATACATACATACATATAACAAGCTAAGAAATAGGGAGTTTTAAAGGAGGAAAAAAGGTTAAAGGTTAGTAACTTTAGAAAGAGCTGAGGTTGATTCTTATTGCGTAGGTGATATGATCGGATGGAAGAGAGTGCACGATAAGGACCAGAGTATATTAGTTTGAGGATTTTAGAATATTATTTTTTCCCTCCCTCTCTCTAATACTGAGTATATAAAAGTCTGATAGATCGATTTGTACTGGAATTGAAAAGAATAATTATTCAATTTGACAAAGAGTTGTTAGAAGTACATATAGAGATGGATTGGGCAATTAACAAACAAGGTCCATAACTAAGGATAATTATGTAATGTTCGCCCGTGAGTCGAGCGGAAGAAAGATGAAGCTTGGAGATGAGAGTCTCATAACGATGAGTCGTCCGAGGCTTGGTCGGAAAATCAGCAAGTTGATCTTCAAAAAGCAACATGTTCGGCACTTATATGGACCCATGGACCCAACAATAACTTGTTGTCAAATAGAATGGTAATATGTGCCTCTACATGTGTCATGTGCTTATGCAACAAATGATTTTTTTAATGGGACGAATATATAAGAGATTGATAATTGCAATAAAGAATACATGGTGTTGTAACAATATGTAAGTCTGTAGGAATGTAATTGAGCCACATAACCTCGATCACTGCTACAAAAAGGGTCCTATATTCGGCCCATGTAGAAGACTTCGATACTCATGCCTGCTTTTTCTATACTCCAATATACAAGATTATTCTCAAGATAGAAAAATTAAAATAACCCGTAGTTCATCTAATATTAGAAGGATATATCATTTGCCGAATTAAGAGGGTTAGGGGGTACGAACCGTCAAATTTACGAATTGGGCACCGGAGTACCCCGGGTCATCCCATAACATTGGAAACTAATATCATGAGAACAAACTCGTGGAAATATTGCTCTCCAGTTATAAAAAAGAAATTTTGAAATTTTTGGTTTGATTTTGAAAACTCAACCTAAGATAGATAGAAGGAACAAATGTCCGTCCAAACTCACAAGTGATGAAAAAAAAAAGGTGAGCCGAAATTAGGGACAAAAATGAATGTGTTTGGCCGACATCCTTTGACATGGATTAGAAATTGTTATGACCTATCCACACTCATTGCTCTCTAGAATTATATTCTTTTCTGTCCTTTCTCTTCTTCTTTTTTTTTGACAAATTAAGCTTACAAATTAAGTTGACAAATTAAGTGTTTCATACAAATATATACAAATAAATATTGTTTATGTGAGATTGAACTATTTGTATGTCTATGAAAGATTGTATGATATCAAAGGTAGTAGTATATACTAGTATATACTTACTACACTTCATAACGTTTAATTAATTGAACATTTTTAGACATTACTCGTAATATACTCTCATTTTTGTATGCATCCCATAAAACACTTCAATATCGTCACAAATGTCAAAATAATTTTCAAAACGACTGCTACCCACAATAAAAAGTAGATATGATAGATAAATTTTAGGCATTTTAGATGTGACTAGAAGCATGTTTGGGACGAGCAAAAAAGGAAGCGTAACCTTTTTTTGGGACGGAGGGAGTATATCTTTGGCCTATAGCATGCTCACTATACTACTCCTATTTCTCTAATTTACAATAATTATTTTGTCCTATAAAATTTTGTTAGTCAACGCTTATAGCTATTAAAAATAAAAATTATACGGTAGCATTTTGGGAAAATATTTTTAAAAAGATTAAGCTAAACTATAATGATACATAGTAGAGTAAGACATAATGACTTTCCCTAACTAGCACTACATGTGTGTTTCTTCCCAATATAACACTTTTAGTCATTATGTATTAGTCATTATTCAAGTAAATATTTGTCATCACAGGACATTATGGACATTATTAAATGTTATTATTAAATGTTATTTAGGTAATAAAACAATTTAAGTGCTATTTAGAGAAATGACTTAAGTTTTAGTGTTATTTAGTGCAAATATTTCTACATAGTAAATGAATCTTAATTAATTATGTTATTTTTACATATAATTCATTAGTATAAGTTGTAGCGTAGGTGTTTATATTCTGTTACTAGAAGCAGGCGTCTTCCAAATAGAGTAAGATGTTGGAAGTTCTGTAGACAAGAGAATTGAAATGTTGGTTGACATTTAAGCACTATTGTTAAACAAAGTAACAATGTATGAAGTTGGTGTCGCCTTGAATGGAAAGTTGATGGAATTTGTTAATCAAATAAAGAATTGAAAATGCAAGCATGCACTTTTAAAAGGGTTGAAAATCACATTAAAACATTCATCCCAATCCATTAAGTATTTATGTATTTAAGTAATTCAACCCAACACTTTAGTCTAGTTTTTGGGAATAACCTAACATTTTCAATTAGCGTCACCATTTTAGATTATCTGTTAATAGTTTAGATTGACTTTAAAAATATTGACGCTACGTTTTCAAAACTATGAATTTGTTGCAAAAATTATAGCGTACTTTAATAACTACAATAGAATTTTCCTACATCCTAAAGCTCTTCTAATTAAATAATTAAAACAAATTCAAAGTTAGTGGCAACCCGTCTATTATTACGTCAATCTCCGTCCCAGAGTGTGTTCATTTTTATTTTTTTGCAGTCAAAATTGATAAAATTTACCATAAACTAAATAAGATTAATAGTCTGTATTTAGATATTGATATAAAAATAATAATTTTATTAGATTAATCTAGTAAAATATTTTCAAAATAGTATTTCAACTAGTAATTAATATTATATCATATACCGGTAATTTCTATCTACTTATTGGTCAAATATTAATTTTAAACAACAAAAAGTCAAAACAGAACAAAACTTTAATGTGAGGGAAGTACATAATTTTATAATAAAAAAACACCACAATATCCATTTTCAAGATCTTCCTCAAAACTAATACACTTAATTAACTCTACTCACTCGTCCCCTAATTATGTATGAACAGATAATATCTTGTGAGTGTGGAGTTTCATACAAATAAGCATAGTAGAACTGGAAGCTCCTCTTAAGTACACCAAAGTAGAATGTAATTATATGAATTGAACTATAATCTCAGTTTATGAAGAGAGAAATAAAGCGTGTATTTAATTAAGATGTCCATGAACCCGTGCATAATATAATCATTCTTTATCATCGTTGTTAATTAGTACGTCCAAAAACTCTTTCTTCTTTTTTTTCTGGTCCGACAAGGTAATTTTTCTTTCAATTAAAAAAATAATTTTACCCACAGCTACTAATTCATAAATTACCGATCAGATCATACCTTTTTACTAGTAATTTACCAATCGCAACATATTTTTATTCATCATATCAAAGATATTTTTGAAAAGTCAATACTACTTTCTCGACCATCTCGAGACATATACACATACAAAGTTATGTCAAATGAGTATATATACAAGTAGAGATAGGTAGATAGATAGATATAGGATCATGTATGTGGTTTAGCTAGTGTAGAAGATATTGAAGCTAAGTAGTGTTACAAACAAAAAAAAACAAAGGAAAAAAAAGCAATGGAAATAGGGGAAGAAGGAAGATCATCATCTTCATCATCAAGGCTGCTAGCCCTACCCCACAGCTATGGAGGGTTACATGAAATGGGGTTTCTCCACTTTGAAGACCATAACCACGCGGCGGCCGTCATGAGCTTCTTTGCCCCCTCCTCCTCCTCCTCCTCATCTCATCCCCGCCATCCAAACGGCGGCGCTCACCCCGGCGCCACCACCCAGCAGCCTCCGCCACAGCTCACTCATGATAGTAATGATAATACCACTAGTACTAGACCTTCATGGAATAATAACCACGACCAGGTTTGCTTTTAATTAATTAATTGATTAATTTTATTTCCCCTCTTTTCAGGAAATTAATTCATTACGTTAATTATCTGTTTAATTTCTTTGGTTTTTTTTGGTGCTACAAATTAAAAAAAATAATTATTAAATTGATTAATTAGTTTAGCTAGCATTGATTTATATATAGGTTGGAACGATGGATCCCAAGTGCGGAAATGCTGAAAATTACGGTGGTAATTATGCAGCCGAGGGTAGCAATTCATCTTGGTATGTAAATATATATTTATAAACTTCGTATTTATTATTTGCAAATTAAATAATTGCAACCATTAAAAAATAGTACCTTTGTCCCTGAATATTTGTTCACTTTTGACTTCTATATCTATAATTAAATAAAATATATATCGAATATTAATTACATAGAATAATATTTTAAAAATATTTTATGTAATAAATCTAATAAAGCTATTTTTGTATCTATATTTACTATCATTTTTATTTAATTTAAGATTAAAATTTATCAATTCTGACCGAAAAAATCAAAAGTGAACAAAAAAACTCAGGACGGAGGGAATATAATTATATATACACCGCATTAAAAAGATTTTTATTAAAATAAAAATAAAAAGTTGGTATATACTACTGTATTTCTTTGTGTCGCTAGCTTTTTTGATGGAGTTGATATATACCAACTTTAGGGCACTATATCTCCTTTTGGAGGTTTAGAGAAGCTTCTGTTTTCATTTTATTTTCAAACTGAATCATCAAAGCTAAGATATTTATTAGTACATATACATCTATCTATGAATTATTGAATGATTTTCTACGCCAGAGATTCTTTATTAGCTGGTTTGTGGGTTTTTTTCTCACTAAATATCTTTTATATTATTTCTTGTTTTTTCAATGTAAGAAAATAAAAGTAGAAACCTTTTTCTATCTCTTAATATACACTCAAGCTTTGAAGCTTAAATTTTTTGGTTGATTTGTTTCTTTCGTGGGCTTATAATCACAAATTTGAACGTTTGATTGATCTGGTTCGGCACCAAAGTCTTATTGACTTGGAGGAACGGTGTTGGAATATAAAATTTTTCTTAGGTTTAGATTAATCACAAGTTTGACTTTCTAGTTGAATTGCGGGTTTTTTTTGCGAGATATATATTCATCATGAGTTGAATGGAAAAACATGCAGGTGGGGGAGAAGCTCTTCGAATTCCATGGAGAAGGGGAAGGTGAATAAAGTGAGGAGAAAGCTAAGGGAGCCAAGATTTTGCTTCCAAACAAGGAGTGATATTGATGTTCTTGATGATGGTTACAAATGGAGGAAATATGGCCAGAAAATTGTCAAAAACAGCCTTCATCCCAGGTTAATTCCGACTCCCTCCGTCTAAAAATTATCTTTCCGTTACGCGTTACGTTGTTTGACTGAACTTATTTTCAAATCGTTTTATATGAAAATGGTGTGGGATTAAAAAATAAAAATTACATCAAAAGATCTAATCCGTAGATTAGAGGTGACATGACTATATTATTTTATCAAATTGACGATAAAAATAGACCAACAAAATAAATAAAATCTGACTCTGTGAATAGTGAACAGAAAAATATATTTTGGATTGACGAAGTTTATAGCTACTCCCTCTTATCGCGGCCTCATTATTTAATTTTAATGCATCTCCTAAATATGAATTAATAATTAGTAGCAGACTCCAAGAAAAAAATTTAAAAAAATGTACGGAGAAATTGACATTCCTAAACTATCCCTAAGGACATTTTCAATGGAAGGGGAGGAAATCGCCGCGCCACTCGGAGGGCTCGGGGAAGCGCCCGGCGCTACGGCGGGGGCCATTGCAACACCACGATGCTGTTTCTAATTCTTTTAAATTTCAATTTCATTTTTTTCAACTTTTGTTTTTAATTTCAATACTTATTATCTAATGTATGTTACTCCCTCGTCCCCCTGTATTTGTCCACATTTGACTTTTGGAACTGTTCATCTAAGCACTTTGACTCATCAAATTCTCTCAATGTGTAAGCCTAAATATAGTCATGTGTGATCTTGTTTGATTTGTCTTAACATATAGATTATTAATATATAATTTTTATAATTTTTTAATATACAAATTACAAGATAAAACGGATTAAAGAAGTGCATTAGATGATGTGTAAAAATGAAAGTGGACAAATACAGAGGGACGGAAGGAGTATTTGTTTTTTTATTTATTTTTGTTAATTTTGGATGTATCATATGTATTTTTTACTTATTATTATTATTATTATTATTATTATTATTATTATTATTATTATCATCGTTATTACTTTGCTCTAAGGCTGGTGCAGTATTTTAGCGTCGTCCCTGTCATGTAACTTCAATACTAATTACATCCACCTGCGATCTGGGTATTACCCGACCCGGACGGACGTTCTTTGTAGCAGTGATCGACCTCCAGCTTCTAGCGACGGATTTCATAGCCCCTCCGCCGCCACTCCAGCCATCCTCGGGCCATGCCCGCCGCATCATGTGCACTTCCGTCCTTAATTATAATGTCCTCTACTTTAGGGTTTTTAATTAAATACTCGTATATATTTATGATGCCACTTCTAAGGAAGAAGAATAAATTAGGTTGCGAGATAGTACCGTGATTTTTAAATAGTGAAATGTGTTTTTTTTAGATTTGGAAAAGTATAATGTTTTTTAGGACGATGGGAATATAATTTTTCAAATAATTAGGCCGGGGTCGTTGGGTGTATAGTACTCGCCGTATGTATATACCTTAACATAGACTTCGTTTGGGAACCACCTTTTAAATTACCTTAACCTAGCATAGATTAATTTTAAAAATACAAATGCTAATTAAAGACTAACGTTGCATAATATTTACAAATGTTAACATTAAACTCTAACGTTGTCGTCTAATAGGGCCCTAGCAACGTAGCTTACATACGAGTACTTCGGTTTGTCAATTTAGTCATTTGATAAAGAAAAGGATGAGCCCCATCTGATGTCAGAAAGTGAAGGTCAGTTTATACTTTAATTGTAGATTGATGTCAGAAAGTGAAGCTTCTATGTGATACTTGAAGAGCCGCTATATTTTGCATAGTTACCTCCCGACGCAGTTTTCAAGAAAACGAACTCGGATCAATCTTTTTGGTACTCTTTACTTTTGCCAACTGCACAACGTAGATTTATTAGCAAGTGATGATGAAGAATAGTAAGGAAAACAAAAATGGGGGGTGAGTTGTAACAAGTGAAGTAGGAGTACAGAGAATAATGCAGATTGGGTATGATTATATCACTGACAGTGTGTGGTGTGTAGTTGGATGGGATTGGGAATGTGAGTAGTACACTGTTTTCTAGCTCCCTCATTAGGTTTACTATTTTCTGTAAAATCCTACCGAGTATATTCTTAATTAGCCTACTAAAATGCATATAATTATTTAGTTGAATAATTAACCAAAATATTCATATCCATATTAGAGACGGAGTGGGCATATCTTTTAACATTTTTAAACCAAAAAAGACTAATAATGTTAAATAATTAATGATAAAATATAATAATCTTGTTTGAATAAATGTATTTAATTAGCATTAGTAATTTTGACAAGTTTTTAACGATCCAAATTAATTTTCAAAGAATAAAAGCTAAACTCCGTTACGATTATAGAGTCTTTTCCAAATACGAAAGCAAAATATTTGAAGTTGTTGCCAAATAATTTCAATGTCAAAAGATCGACATTATGAAAATGCCAATATATAATACCACCACTCTTATTTAGAGATACAATTAAAAACAATACTTTGTAGCTTATTTTGGTAAACATTTCATATTTTACTTTTATTTAAGTAAATTTCTTAACATTTTTCATTAATACTCTTTCCGTCTCACTCTCTTTGTCCACTTACCTTTTGGCACACCATCTAATGCATTTTTTAAATCCATTTTATCTTGTAATTTGTATATTAAAAAATTATAGAAATTATATATTAATAATTTATATGTTAAAATAAATCAAACAAGATCACACATGACTATATTTAGGCTTACACATTGAGAGAATTTGATTAGTCAAAGTGCTTAGATAAACAGTTCCAAAAGTCAAAAGTGGACAAAGAGAGTGAAATGAAGGTAGTATTTATTTTACTTTTTGATAAGGAATATGTTATTAAAAAAGTTTCTCTGATCTATATTCTTACGAATTTGGGTAAATCATTTTTTTTCTAAATTTTAATTTATTCTATCCGTCTTAAATTATTGCTTGGTGTTGTAAACAACTTTTGATTTAGTATGCGCTTTCATTGATCTTTTATCAAATAAAATATGCATGTCACCGCTTACCTTATACTCCCTTTGTCCCAAATTATTTGCCACATTTGTATTCTCGAGACAAAATATCAAGTTTTTTCAATTTATTTTATTTACATATTGGTAAAAAAATAAAAAATAAAAATTACATATCTAAAACCTACATGAAAAGTTCTTCGAAATAAGAGGTGTCAAGAATATTTTATTTTATCAAATAACCAATGAAAATGTAGAAATAAACAAAAGTTCACGCGATTGTTGAAAAAGCAAATGTGGTAAATAATTTGGGACGGAGGGAGTAGTTTTTAATGTATTTGCTATACGAGTGTAATACTTTTTATTTTTATACCAATTGGTAAGTAAAATAATTTTAAAGAGAAATGAAATTTTACACTTTGTTCAAAATAAGACAAATAATTTGGGACGATGGGGGAGTAATATCTTATCAAGATCTTTTTAAATTATTTGTGAAATAAAATAAATAATTATTACGAAATCGCTCAAAATAAGTGCATACAATTAACCCTTATTAGAAGATAACAGTGACACACTGTGATCCCAAAATATGGCATTTCATAGAATTTTTTAGTATCATATACAAATATTACTCTCTTCGTCCCTAAATATTTATCACATTTGTATTTCTGAGGCAAAATATCAACTTTTTTCAATTCATTTTATTTACATATTGGTATAAAAATAAAAAATAAAATTACATATTAAAAAACTACATGAAAAGTTTTTCGAAATAGGAGGTGTCAAGAATATTTTATTTTATCAAATAACTAATGAAAACATAGAAATAAACAAAAGTTCCCGCGACTGCTGAAAAAGCAAATGTTGTAAATAATTTGGGACGGATGGAGTATTTTTATCTTTATCTTTCTTAGTATAGGCGAATATATACTCTCTCCGTCCCAAAAAGATCTTCCTGTTTCATTTTTTGCGCGTCTCATAAAACACTTCTATCCCGCCTCAAATGCAAAAAAAACTTTCAAAACAACTTCTACTTACAATAAATGAGAAATGTGGTAAATTTTATATGATGTGCAAACAATGAAACAGGAAGATCTTTTTGGGACGGAGGGAGTATTTGTTTTTGGATTGCCGAAAACAAGGTAAATAAGTACATACGGAGTATTTCTTAAACAGAGCATAACACATTCTAAAGTAGTTTAGGGTTTTGCCATCTTAGGGCTTATAGCGTAAGTAATAATTTAAGAGAATTTACGGTTACGAGTTAGAATAGAGACGGAAACATTCTACATTTAGATAAAAATGATAGAAAGAAATAAAACATTGAAAATATATCAATTAAAACGAGAGTTCCATGTTTTTATTTATAAAATAAGAATTAAAATATATATACAATGCAAAATATGTCAATATATAAAATCAAAAAGTATTATGAAATATCCATATAGAATGTCACATTATTATTGTGCAAATTCCTAATTTGGAATAAAACTTTTGATATTTTAATCGTATTTAGGGTTAAAAAACGGGTACAATGTACTCTATAATAAAACTATATATATATAGTGTTAGTGCTAAAAATTATTCTTCATTCATCATTCATACATCAAAGTTAGTCACTTTATTTACTTATTTTTCCTACTCAGTTCATAATATTATACTCCGTGTATAATCATATTACCTCTTTTTTGGATAAAATTGAAGATGTAACAAAAGTAAAAATTTCTTTACTCATTTTTTCCCATAATTATTGACTAACTTCAAATAAGCAACATTTTCATCTTTTTTTAAAATTATTTTATTTACAAATCGATACTTATAAAAATAAAATGTATAAATTACATATTTAAAAAGTATGAATGACAAAAATGTTTTATTTTATCAAATTATAAATAAAAATGCGCAAACGTAGGGCAAGTAAGTTATTTTTCCACATCGAGATAAATACAACAGTGATGGATAAATTATGGGAAAATCATGATGGTAAGATCATCCCATGAATGGCTTGAGAATCGTGACCCCGGCCATATCCACCCCATAACCCACCGCGCAGATGAGACCTACCGCTGCCGCCGCCGCTATTCTTCTTCGTCGACGTCCACCGCGCCGCCGCACTTCGCATATAGATGTCGACACTTTCGCCATGGAGTAGTATATATGTACCATACTACCACGGCACTTCACAACTCTTTTTTTCTATTTTAATTTTGGTGATCAATATTTTAGAATTTTGACCACAAATTAATAAAATATACATTCAATTATGATATAAATTTAATATCAGTATATTCATTCAAAATGTGGTTTTCAAATATCATTTATTTTAAAATCTATATATTAAGAAAGATAGAAAAAAATTATATGAATACTCACATAAATTGGTGGTTTTACATCAACACTTCTAAATTCAATAATGCTCCTAAATATTACTCCCTCCGTCCCAAAAAGTCTGTCACGTTTCGAAAAATTTGCGTCCCTTAAAGTCCGTCTCATTTCTAGTAAAAAACTATTTTTGCCCTTTATTTTTTCATACCCTACCTATCACGTCATACCTTTTTCCTAATAATCTACTCATCACATCTTACTTTTACCCATCAAATCAAGGGTATTTTTGGAAAGTCAACACAAAATTATCTCTCCTTATTTTACCACTTTAGTCAAAATGTCCCAATCTTTTTGGGACGAAGAGAGTACTTTATATCACATTATTATTCCAAGCAGCCAACTAAACTAAATACGTACCTTTTTTGAGAAATTATTAAGTATGAGTTCACAAATCACAACTAATAGAAAATAATAAAAAATTGAATGTGTTACTCTCTCCGTTTGCAAAAAGACTTCTCATTTTTATTTGGAGCAAAAATAAGGAAGTGTTAAATTATACTCCGTAGTTGATTTCCAATTTTGCCCCTAATGTGATGGGTAAAAGTAAGATGTGATGGATAGATTATTAAAGAAAAAGTATGATGTGATAGGTAGGGTATGAAAAAGTAAGTGTAAAAGTGGTTTTTAATAGAAAAGGGAAGTGTTTTGTTGGAAGTGAAAAAAATGAAAGAGGAAGTGTTTTTGAGAACGGAGGGAGTATAATATAACTAGACCCAGTGTCCCACTGGTTTAAAATTGAAAATTTGAAATGTGGTAAAAGAGAAAATTTGACATGCATTTGTATTTTAGTGAGTTAAATTACAATTAATGTTTTAATTATAATTTGTAAATTATAAATTTGACATAAAAATGGAGTATTAATGTAAATTTAAATTAAGTAACTTCTCGAAGTAGTGACGTCAATTATTGAATTCGGAGTATAAAGTTAAAATTACACATTTCTGAGAGTATTCTTATTAATGTTGCCATAAAATTATTGATAGTTAAAGTGTTAAATTAGAGATCATAAAAAGTTGAACGAGAGGAAAGATATCAAACGACGAGAGTATTAATATATACTTAACGAGGAAGGGAGGCCGGTGAGCGTAGCTTAGCTGGCTGAAAAAGGGGTGTACGTCAAAGTAGTAAACTGGAGTTCGATTTCTGACAACCTCGTTAGCTGGCAAATACACTAAGGGACTGTTTGGCAACTTCTGAATAGGTAAGTGTTGAACCAGTAAGAGGTCTGAACCATTAAGTGCTGAACCAGTAAGAGATCTGAACCATTAAGAGCTAGTATATTGCTTAACTATTCAGATGCAAATATCTGATCAATTCAGATAAGAGGTCTTAACCATTCAGACTCTGTATAATACTTAATCATTCAGAGACAAATCTCTTAACTATTCAGACATCTGAACCATTAAGAGGTTAAAACAAACAGTCTGAACCATTAAGTGATGAACCATTCAGACATCTGAACCATTAAGAGGCTGAAACAAACAGCCCCTAAACCTAAGGCGTCTACATGGGAAGGATAAAAGGGGAATACCAAATAAAATGACAGTGCTAATTATTACATTCTCCTATATGTATCTATCTCTCTATATATAGCTGGGAATCTTATTATATATATATGGTCAGCTAAGCTACCCTTCTGACTCTTAAGAATATTTTTGATTGAGTACTGATTTTTTGACTCACTTCACTTCACTTATTGTCTTTTTCCCACTGTGCCCTCATTCATCTATCTATCTTTCAACTGCTCATGCTCTCTATTTCACACATACCCTACATTATTATTCCCAGTCCCCTCTGTTTTTCCTCATAAAGTTTATCAACTTTTAAAAGTAAAACTACTTTCTTTCTTGTAATAATTACCAAGTAGCTAGTATTTTCATTATTTCACATTTCTAATACTCCTTCCGTTCCACAAAACTCTTCCTCTTTCGTTTTTTTGCTTTCCACTAAACACTTCCACTTTCTATTAAAAACTACTTTTACCCCTACTTTTTCATATCCTACCTATCACATCATACTTTTTTCACTAATAACCAAACTATCACATCTTACTTTTTTCCATCACATCAGGGGCAAAATTGGAAAATCAACCAAAATTACACTTTCCTTATTTTCCCCCAAAGTCAAAACCGCAAGGGTTTTGTGGAACGGAGGGAGTAAGAAAAAAGACTAAAGTAGCATTAAAATAGGAGTAAAACATTGAAAATATACTAAAATAAGATTTTCATGTTTTTATTCTCGAAATAGGAGTTAGAATGCATTTACATTACCAAACATAGTTATATATATTATAAAAAAACTATAGTAATGTGTACATGTACAGTGTCACATTACAACCACAGAACAAAGTCCCATTTCGGGAATAAAAACACCGAACTACTATTTTGGTACTTTTTTTGTATATATTTTAATCCTATTTAGGGTGATTTATAATAAATATTCCAACCATACTTTTTTATTCTTTAAATACTTTTCTTAAGCTCCGCAAAAATCACAGTAGAACAATGTTTACTGGATTGGATGGGGTCTTCTCTATGAAAACGTACTTCATCCGTCCGAAAATAAATGCCACAGTTTGACTTTTTTGGTCAAGTTGCGACACTCGTTGACATGTTTAGATACATTTTTAAAATAATATACTCAATAACTAACAAATAATTTTTTCATAGGAGTTATTATAGGTGTACACAGAGCAATTGTAGAGTGAAGAAGAGAGTGGAGAGGCTATCAGAGGATTGCAGAATGGTTATTACAACTTATGAAGGCAGACACAATCACTCCCCTTGCGATGATTCCAACTCTTCTGAAAATGATTGTTTCACTTCTTTCTAGCTCTTTTTCTTTCTCATTTTTTCTTAAATCTTATTTCTTCTTCATTAATTTCATTATATTATTATTATATCCCCATTTGTAATGATCTATTGAATTGAAACTCAAATAATTTAGTAAAGTATGTGCTTGTATGTGCATGTATCCCCTAATTGTGCATTTTGGTGTGCCAGTATAGAAAATTAGAGTACAAATATCGTTATCTGATCGTATGTGTATAATCGGGTAATTACTGCGATAAATTAAGAATTGCTCGTTAAGTCTCTAAATTAAACTAATTTATATGTACTTCCTCCGTCTCAAATTTATATTATCCCTTGGTGGGTTGCGATAATTTGGCTGGATTCATTTTTAATCTTAATTTATTTACAAAAAAAAGCAAAACAATAGAATTGAGAATTAGATATATAGAGCTCATTCAATGGCTACAAAATACTCATTCAAAATCAGAATCAACACAAAGTTTAGAGAAAATCAAAATCTCATCACATCCAAATGCACATTACAATGGTCTTCTAGTCATACACCTATGAACAAACTACACTCCCATACTAACAATATTCAGTTGTCTAAAGCAAAGTACCTGGGTATGCTTCCAATATTGCTTAGCTTTTTCTGGGTTTTGTAATCAACACAGAGTTTTATACTTCTCCAACTTGAAAATATCAATTTTCACACCCTCGGACTATATTACCCCTCTTCCCTCCGAGAACCGCCATCCATCTCCTCAATAGTGCGAGAGCTTCAGCCCTGTAAACTCTCTTTCACTCTCTCTCTCTGTTTTTTTTTCTCATGCAAAGTCATCCTCGTCCTTGTCCGTTTCATCATCAAAATGACGAGTTTGCTTCAAAACCTCGAATAACACCTCCTTACTTGCTGTGTCACCTATTTCATCACAATACTCTGTTATAGAAGACACAATTGCGCGCTTAGGTTTCCAGTTTTTTGAGTCCATGGCAGCAACGGCATCCTTCAAGCAAGACAAAGCGTCTGCGACTCTCTTTCCAATAATATGGTACTCGGCTAGAATCTCCCATGTTCTTGAATTCGGCTTCACACCCATGGCTACCATTTGGCTGAAAAAGGTCTCAGCTTTCTCTGTTTCCCCATTCCTGACATAACACGCCAATAGAATGTTTCCTATGCGTGGGTCGAATAGCCTTGGCTTTGATGATGACCATTCGTCATAGAGATCTTCAGCCCCTTGGACATCACCACATTTTACCAGGGCTATGATTACCCCACGGTAACTCATGTCAGTCAATTTCATAAATTTTGACTTGTAAGCTTCCCAAACACGGTAAACCTCTCCGGTTTTACCAATTGCTCCGTAAAGACTGATAATGTAATGGTAAGGGGAACAGTTTTGACCTTCAATTTTATCCTCTGTCAGTTTCAAATACTCTTCGGCTTTTTCAAATTGTCCTGTCTTAATATACATTCTAGCCATGGTACTTAGAGTACTCCAATCAAGCTCAACATTGGTGTCAGCCTTCATTGACTCAAAAACTAGCTCCAGCTTTTCCATAGAACTTTGATGGCCGAGGGAGGTTAACCAGATATTGTATGAATATTCGTCTAATGGGATGTTCATCACTCTCATTTCTGAAATTATTGCTTCCACCTTATCGTATTCTTTGGTGTCCATGTAAAGCGTCATCATAACATTACATGAAAGTGCATAAAGTAAATAACCTTTTTCTTTCATTGTGGCATATACAGATTCGGCTTTTTCCTTCATTTTGGAATTGACATACGCATTCAAAAGTGAACCATATACTCGTCCGTCCTTTAAAGAGTCTCCCAGCGTCTTGAAGTAATCTTCAGCGCTTGAAGCTCCATGCAGCTTGGATATTAGGTCTAATTTAATGGCTATGTCACCTGTGCTCAGCCAGAACCTCTCTGGTTTCGTTTTCATCCATTCAAGCACCTGAACAGTAATAATCAAGGAAAAAAACAAGCAACTGATTGCCAAGTGCATTACACGATAACATATACAGAGAATAGAACAATCAATATCCACATTTAATCCGATTCTAAGTCCAAAAAAGCAACACTTGGTCACAGCGAGATGAAAATACAGACCAAACTCAATTTGTTCACTAAACCCAAGAAAAATACGCATCCGTACCATATAAAGTGTGCACATTGAGGTGAGTGAAACCTTTTAATTATAGTATAGTGCAAGACTTAAAAAACGCTAAATATACCTATTTCTTTAAACAATTTCGGAAATGTGATTCTTTTTATGAGACACAAACAAGTAGAAAAATAAGACTATTTCTACGGGTTGGAGAAAGTAGCAATTAGGAAATACATTTATAAGGCTCCAAATAGAGAATCAAAATTCATAACAAACAACAAGCCGAAAAAAAATACAACCCCAGAAGAATTTCACAATTCTTATAGACCCTGTCTCAACACAAAAGTAGAAGCAAACGCAGTAGCACGAAACAAACTAAGAACACAAATTCACAAAAAGCACACATACCCACGTTAGCACAGAAGCATACATTCACAGACTACAAACTATGGCAAAAAGGGCAATAACTAAAGCAAACACTATAAACAAAGGCCTAAAGGCTTATCCAACGACTCTAATCCTTGCTCTCTCATCTATCCTAAAAATATTCATATCCGGGGTAAGGTCCTGAACTCATAAATCATGGCCTCGTTTGGAATCACCGTTAGAGGTTAGAGTTAGCATTTTGAAAAGGCAATCCGACGGTAGCCTTTAGCATAAGCGTTTTCAGAATTAATCTACACTTACAATTTTATCCAAAACGCTAACGCTAATTGAAAATGCTAATCCCAAACAATGCCCATATCTACTCACAAATTAGCAACAACAACAACAACAACAATAATAATCAAAATTGATGGAATCCCTAGATTTTCACCTCAAGAGCAAGCTTGTACTGCTTGACCTTGCGCAACTGCCTAACGACGCGAGAAAGGTTAGATTTTGGGATCCTGAGGCCCTCATTCTCACACTGGGTCAACACACTAGCAGCGCCATTTTCCGGGTCCGGCATCCAAGCGAGTCTCTTGTAAAGATCAAACCACGCCTCCGCCGGCCGCTTCTCGTAGTCGACGGTGCCGTTTCTGCGGGACTTCGATGGGAATGCGAAAGTGATACAGAGAGAGACGGGATTGCCAGAAACGGTGAGCGGCTTGAGAAGACTCGAGCTTGAAAGCTCAGATCCAGATGGGAAGGACAGTGAATGGGATCGATCTGGATAGGGAGAGCTGGGTTGACGGCGGTGGAAGAGTAGGGTTTCGGTTGCGGCGGCTGCGGTGGTTGGGTGGTTCAGCAGCATCTTGCCCGGAGGGATTCGGGATTTTGATTGGATTTGCTCAAGTTTGGAAACTGGCTAAGGTTTTACAAAGAAAGGATAATGAAGAAGGCAGGTAAGGATAAAATGATTTACTCCACTTAAAAATGTAGTCCTAAAATAAATTATATTCTTTGAATCAAGTTTAAATTTTTGTAATTTTTACAATTATAGTATTATTTACAAATTGATATAAAAAAAATAAAATTTACACACTTCAAAACTATATAAAAATTCTAAATAGCAAGAGGTGACAAAAATATTTTATTTTATTAAATTATCTATTAAAACATGCAAATAAACAAAAATTATTGAAATATTGTAATAATCTCTCTGTCCTAAAACGTTCTTCTCAGATACTCCGTATTATTCATACGGTCAAATTTTAATCACCTATTTTACATATTTTTGTAGTATTTGATAAAGTAATACGGAGTAGAGTCTTTACACCTCTTGTTTTGTAGAACGTTTGATGTATTCTTTAAAAATATAAATTTTACTCCGTATTTTTTAATTTTACACCCACAATAAAAAGATTAAATTGAAAATAAAATCAAACAGACACCATAGGGAAGAACGTTTTAGGACGGAGGAAATAGTAAAGATGAAAATTATTTTAGGACAGAAGAAGTAATAAAGATGTAAATCATCTTAGGACCGAGAAAGTATTAACTTAAATTCTTAAGGTCCCCACCAAGAGTTTATTAATCTTTTTTCCATCTAAATTATTTAATCTTACTTTTTTAAGTTATCTCATTGTATTAATATTTTTAAAGTCTTTTTTATCCTCCTGTACATCTAATACATTATCTCTAATATTTCAGGCACTTATCTTTAATAATTGCACGGTTAAAGATAAATTTAGAAAGTAACTAACATTATTATAGTATTTGCTAAAAAAACTCTGTAAAATTATCTATGTCAAGAATTTGAAGAGATAAAGGAAGTAACTTCCTAATAGTTATTTTATCCATTTGTATTTAAATAATCATCATACCTAATATATTAATAGTGAGTTGAGTTGCCAAAAGACATTCTGATCTAATGGTATAAAGATGACTCTTCCAAATAAGAGACCACTGTCCAATTCTCTGAAAAAGATAACTTTCATTATTTCAATAGACTGAGAAAGAGTAAGTATGAACAAAAACTACAATTATAATGATTACTAGTGCTCAAAACAAATACCCAATTAAGCTGTGATGGACCTAAGATTCATGTTTTAGATATGAATTTTCTCACATTCTTTAATAAATAAAAATTCATGGGGCACTTGCTAGCCTCTAAGAAGCTATATGGTGATCTAATCCAAAAATATTACTTTTTCGTCTCAAATTTAAGTTCTAGATATAACTTTTATATAAATTTAAAATATGTTTCAGTTCTTATGACATTGAGCTTCAATGTCATAACGTGACATGAGACATTTATGGTACTCCGTACGTATAATTGATAGTTCTTAATCCCTCCAAAATCTTGTTGCTCTCCTCGGCCTCTCTCCCCTCCGATCGGCGAAAAGAGTGGTGACAGGAGAGTTTCAGAGGAAGTTAGAAGTAAGAATCATTAATTTTACGAACGGAACATCGTAGGTACCACGTGCCATGCAATGACATTGAATAACAATGTCACATGAATCTTTACGATCAAAATAAGTAACAATTTTTAAAGAAATTTGTACATAAAACAATAGACTGTCCAATTCTTTCCTTAAAAAATGAGAAGTCTATTTTGAGATAAAAGGATACTCCGTATTAAATTACCCTTCCACCTATTAAATACACTAAATATTCAAGATTAGATTTTGGGCCATAAATCAACAACTTATTCCGTAGTAATATTTTCCTATCTTGACTTCTTTTTAATTAAATTTTGACACTCTTTAATTACAAATGAAACACAATTTAAAAAATAAATGTTATAAAAATTTGATATATCAATACAACAACCGAATTAAATACTTCTGTTCAATGCTATTCAGGTAACAAAATGACTAATAACCCCCCTTGATGTTGTCTATTAGCAGAAGAGTTGCAGTCAATTCCACAAAGAATTCAGAACTCATGAACCAGAGTGGGACTAAAAGGTTTTGAATAAAAGATAGTCGAACAGGTGCCAAAATGTGCATCATATTGAACTTGTTTTTTAGGGGGGAAAAATATAGAAAAAACTCAGAAAAGTTGAGAGAAGATCATAAGCTCATCACACTAAAGTGTGCATTACATTGGTCCAATCATACCAATTCAGCAATCTACACTTGACAGTCACTAATATTCAGTAGTCCAAAGCCATCATCACCAACACAGCACAAAGATGACACTTTTATTTCTGAAACAGGAAATTTTGGTCTTCACATTCTTGGACTAAATTGCCCCTCCCCCCAACCCAAATTGTGTTGGGGCTCCGGCACTGCAAAGGTTCGATAAATGATGGCTCGGCTTTGTCTCACGCAGATTGTATCCCTTCTCCATTTTCAGCACCCTTCTCCATTTCATCATGCAGATACCCAGTTTCCTTCAACACCTCAAATAACATCTCCTTACTTGCAGCATCACCTTCTTCCTCACAGCTCTTGAGAATAGAAGACACGAGGGCGCGTTCTGGTTTCCATTTTTTTGATTGGTTAACAGAAACAGCTACTTTCAAGCAAGACAAAGCCTCTGCAACTCTTTTCCCTCTGATCTCATGGGTGGCTAGAATCTCCCACGTTTTTGGATTTTGGTTCCCTCCCAATTCGGCCATTTGTTTGAAGAACGCTTTGATTTTCTCTGTTTCCCCATTCTTCACATAGCACGCCAATAGAAGATTTCCTATGCGCGGGTCGTATGGTGTTGGCTTTGTTGATAACCATTCATCATAAATAACTTCAGCACCTTCAACATCACCACATCTCAACAAGGATTTAATTACCTCACGGTAATCTGTATCCAACAAAGTTGTAAATTTTGACTTGTAATCAATCCAAAGACGGTGGACATCTCTGGGTTTACCAAGAGCACCATAGAGACTAATGAGGTGATCATAAGGGGTGCGGTTTTGACCATCGATTTTGCCCTCTACCTGTTTCAAACACTCTTCAGCACTTTCAAAATATCCCATCTTAATATACACTGCAGCCATGATACTATATGTATCCCATCCAATATCAATGCTGGCCCTCTTCTTCATCGAATCAAAGACTTGATCCATCTTTTCAAAAGACCTTCGAGCCCCGAGTGATGTTAACCAGATATTGTATGAACACGCGTCTAACGAGAAGCCTTTCTTTTTCATTTCTGAAATTATTGGATCCACCTTGTCGAATTCTCCGATGCCTGTGTACAGTGTCATCATAACATTTGTAAAAAGTGCAGAGTCTACCATACCTTTTTCTTTCATTGTAGCATATAAAGATTCCGCTTTTTCCTTCATTTTGCAATCGACATAGACTTTTAAAAGTGCACCATGTACCAGCCTGTCCCTAACAGATTCTTTCAGTGACATGAAGTAATCTTCAGCGCTTGAAGCTCCATGCGCCTGGAATATCAGGTCTAACTTAAAGGCTCTGTCTTTTGTGGTTACTGGGTACGTGTCTGGTGGTTTGCTTTCCATCCATCTATATACCTGAACAGTAACACCCAAGAAAAAAAGCAACTGATTGCCATTACATGAATACAAAGGCGGGTGATGGAACAATCAAAAGTCCAAAATTAGTTTGATTCCATGTCCAAACAAGCAATACTTGTCACAAAGAGAGAAAAATGCAAACAAAGCTAAATATGCTCAACGAATCCCAGATAAATGACACTTCAAGAACTTCAGAACATTCTAAGCTACAATAAGGGAATCAATAACCATATCAAATAACACGTCGAAATAATAGTAATAACAACAACAATACTTCCTTCACCCTTTAATAAATTTAACATTTTGGTTTAAAATGCTTAGTTGAAGTTATTTTCAATTCAAATATAATGAAATATTAATGTCAAGTTTAAAAATAAAACCTACATAACTAAAAACCACTTCATGTGTCTCATATCTTTCTTACAATTTTTATATTTTGGCCTTCCCATATCTTTCTTACTCTTTCCTTATTTGGAAAAATAAATAACGCCAAATCGACTTTTTTTCCCATCAACCCACTACCCATTTAAACTTCCACTTTACAACTCCACTTAATCTACTAGTCATTTCTACATCCAACGTACTTTACTCTTGCTTAGAGAAAGAAACACACTTTACATTACATGAAAAGAGTAAATTATAAATTGTAACGAATCTTCGGTATTGTAACAAAATATTGAAGTAAATAAGAAAATGAGTAACAATGAAGTTTAATAATCAAAATTTGATGGAATCCTTTGGATTTTCACCTCAAGAGCGTGCTTGTAAAGCTTCGCCTTGCACAACATCCTGGCCGCACGAAAAAGATAAATTGTGTTGACCCTCTTTCCCTTACTCTCATAACCATTCAACGCCGCAGCAACTCCCTTCTCCGGATTCCGCACGGCAGCGAGTTTCTCGAAATAACGAATCCACTTCTCCTTCGGGCGCTTCTCGTACTCCACGATTTCATTTTTGCGGGGACTCCATGGGAATGCGCGCGCGATGCAGCGAGAGACGGGGTTGCCGGAAGTGGTGAGCGGCGGGAGAAGAGGGGAGCTCGAAAGTCCGGATCCAGATGGGAAGGACCGCAGCGGAAGGGACAGATCTGGAGAGAGATCGCTGCGTGGACGGCGGGGGAAGAGTGCGGCATTGGTGGCGGCTGCCGCCGTTGGGTGGTTCAGAAGCAGCATCTTGCTCGGAGGAGGGATTCAGGGACTTATTTTGCTCTGAATCTGCTCAGTCTATTGAAAATTGGGATAGGGTTAGGGATAAAAGGAAAAAGAGAAAGAGGCGGATTTACCGATGAAAATGGAAAGTTGACTTAATAGGGATTTATCACCTTGGTTCCCATCACATTGGTGGGGGAACCAATGTCATGGATGACCCGGGGCGCTCCGGTGCCCCGTTCGTAAAATTGATGCTTCCTACCCCCAGATAAACCCTCACCCTGACCCGACCCGAACGCACCCCCCCACCCCCTTCAATTGCACCCCACAAGTTGATTTTGACTTTGGAGTCAAATTTTGACTCCAAAGTCAAAATCAACTTGTGGGGTGCAATTGAAGGGGGTGGGGGGGTGCGTTCGGGTCGGGGCGGGTGGGGGGTTTACCGGGGGGTTAGGGGGGTAGGAACCGTCAATTTTACGAACAGGACACCGGAGCGCTCTCGGGTCATCCCATGACATTGGTTCCCAATGTCATGGGAACCTTGCCCGTGATTTATTTGGAAATAGCATTTGTAATTAGACTTTAGTTCTCATGACATTATTGAAATTTAAGAGCATATACAGTGACAAGTAAGAAGGATGTCTTGCACTACCACATCAGCTTTTTCCAATCTTATCATGGTATGGTAAGGCCAAAATGCTTTACTTGGTGAGGCATGAGTGTGGCACTCCATCCTTCCTTTTTCTTTTTTTTTTAATAAATTTTTTTAAAATATTTTATGAAAAAATGTACAAGAAAGTAGAATAATTTTTTAATAAAATAAATAATAAAAATATTTTTTTATGTTTAAAAAACATAAAAAAAAATGTAAAAAAATGATAAAAAAAATAATGACTTGCCATTGCAGAACTTGTCACTCCATGCACTTGGCACACGCTGACTGGACTATTTTTGATTGGCTAAAATGTTCCATGTCACCGTGTGGCATTCCATTTTCGCCTTGCCATTGTTCATGTTCTAGGAGCACGTGCTATGGCAAGGCAAAAAATGGAATGCCACACGTTGACGTGGAACATTCCAACCAATAGAAAACAGCCCAGTCATCGTGTGGCAAGAGCATGGAGTGACATGCATTGCAGTGGCAAGTCATTATCTTTGTCACTTTTTTACATTTTTTTGTATATAATTATTAATATTTATTTTATTTAATATTTTTATAAAAATAATACTATTTTGTTTATACTCTCTCTGTTCCCAAAAATGTCGTAGTTACTATTTTAGATTTTTTATAACATTTTGTGTGCTTCCCTTTTTCACGGTATATTTAATAAAATAAATTATTCTTATTGCTGCTTATTTTGTAAATTTTTTGAAATGGTGAAAAGTTAAATTAAAAAAATTACTCCCTCCGTCCCTCATAGATCTTCTCAATAGCCCTTTTTCATTGTCCACAATAGATCTTCTCATTTCATTTTTTAACAGTTAAAATACCACAACTACCCCTACTTACTTTATTTATTACACCTCACACACCTCATTTAATACACTCCACCCATTTTTCATTAAGGGCATTATGGTAAACTTTCACCTTTTTTCAACTCTCCTTAAAAACCACTAAAAGTCAGAATGAGAACATCTTAGGGGGACGGAGGGAGTATTATTTTTGTTGAGTGGCAAGTGATAGGAGTG